CCTCAACCTCTGGAGTTACTGGGATTACAGACATGTGTTACCACATTCTACTAAATCCTTTTATAGGAAACCAGGAAACCTTTGTCCCTGCACACCGTTCTTCCACTTCCCCTCTTTATAAAGGCTCAGAGCATTATAATTATCATATCATTGAAAATATAATCAACTCATAATTAATTAAATACAGAAGGAGATTGCTGAAGACTAGCTGTAAACTAAAACAAGAGTCAGAACAAAAATTGCAGTCATCTTTTGAATTTCTAGGAGCATTTTCATTGTTGAGAATTGGGAGAAGGGCTCCTGCTGTTTAGCCTCCCATTTACCTTTACAGGAACCTGGACCTAAAGTGGATGAGGAGTTAGACCCGATCAGCTTTTRTACAGCCCGTGCCTTAAAACAGCAATTAGTCTTTATGCAGGTTACCTGAGAAACGGTTACTCCATCCCTGGATAACTAAAAATTATTATGTGTCTTTTTACTACATTTCCCCCTGCATATGTATTGTGTCTTTTTTGATGTCCCTATTTCCTCATATATTATAATAGAGGATAAATAAGTGATTGTTTAATTTATATGAATGGATTGGAATTATTGTCAGATAATTTTAAAGAGTTAATTTAGGTTCCTCAAGAAAATCGTTCTATTATCATTCAGTCATCTCAATACTCAGGGACTATCTACCTTCTTTTATGAATCTATTATCATTTATGCAGCTATTATCATTAATATTATTACCAAAGGTAAAGTATTATTCCTGATACTGTTGTTTTATATGGAAAGGAAGGACATTAAGATTGGAGGCAAAGCAAAACCCATGATTTGGGAGAGAAAGTATAATGACTAAAAAAAARTAAAAGAGCCTCCGTATATTCCAGAAGAGCAATTAAGACTTTCCAAAATATATAGCCAACATGGAAATGTAGAATTTTATAGTTTTTTTTATTGTTGGTAGTTCAAAACATTAGAATTTTATAGTTTTAAAAAACATATTAATCCATTTAGTCCTTATAATAATTAATATGGGTGGAAAAGGGGTTAAAAAAARGGTATAGCAATGTCATATGAAGCATCGATTTAGGGTCATGTAAAAGAGACTCCTCTTTGATAGAGGTTAGCAGGTAGGGAGAGTAAAAAGGATTTCATGGATGAATATACAACTTTGAAGTTGAGTGATTGTTGAGCAAAGTGTGAATGGTGTTGTATACTGGGGACATGGAGAGGAATGGAGGTAAGTCATAGTCCCATGTAACTGGAGCAAGATGCTCTGTTGAGAGATTGATTCTTGGCTAAAGCCAAGACACATTCAGAGTTTGCTTTTAATTATACTGAGCTTGCCACGCCTGTAATCCCAGCAGCTCAGGAGGCTGAGGCAGGAGGGTTGCAAATTCAAAGCCAGTCTCAGCAACATAGTAAGGCCCTCTCTCAAAATAAAAGTTAAAACAGATTGATGATGAGACTCAGTAATTAAGCTTAATCCCTGGTACCAAAAAAAAAAAAAAATATATATATATATATATATATTGAGCTACCTCTAATTTTGTGTGTGTGTGTATGTGTGTTTAAAGATATCCTTTCTTTGAACATAAAAGGACTTTCTGCAAATTTTTAAAGTAATTGAAGCTCTTGAATTTCTAAGTATTGTAAAAAAGGAAAATATGCTTAAAGTTGTACAAAATTAATTTTCTTAATCAAAACATACTGCTCCCCTTTTATAAACTATGCACCTTGGGATGTCTAAATACTTCACATTCTTTATTGGAAAGATTAGAATTCCCAAATAYTTTATTTTCCTTTATCATCTTTGATCTTTGTTCTTGTTACTTGCTCTAGAAGGAGCACTACTTACCCCTTATCAACTCCTCATTCCTTTATCCTTCAGAGCACCTTAGACATCATTTCTACTGGGAAGGCTTTCTTGAACCTGCACATTTGCATTTGCTAGCCTGTTCCTGTGCCATTTCTCTCCCACTGCTTACCCATGCTAACAACACTTAACCTTTATGTGCAATTGTTTCTTGTCTTTCTTACCAGCAGACTGTACCCTTTTAAGGATAGGGACTAAGTCCTGGCTCTTTTTACAAACCTTTTTCACAGTAAATAGTAAATTGGTTAAAGGAGTAAAGCTAGCTTTAAATTTATGTGAGAACATATGCTCCAATTAACTAAATCTGTTTTACTGTTTGGGTTTTTGCAGACAGTGCTTTATCTGGTGTTTGTCATAAATCCACATTTTCTTCTCTTCCAGATGACTATAATTGGTATGTATTAAAATTCAATTAAAAAATAACAGTCTTAGCTGTATCTGAAATGATTTCATTTGATTTTCTGCTTGCTTTTTTATTATTCTTTCTTTAATTTTGTTTTAAAAAGTTATTTCCATTCTCTTATTTACTCAGTATCTGAGATTATAAATGTTTTAAATGAAATCATTATCATTGTGTTTCAGTGAATATTTAATTTGTTATAAGACAGACATGTTGTTAGAAATGCTATCTTCCTGAAGCCTACTTTAGCTTTTTGGAGAAGTTAATTAGTTTTTATAGTTTTCTCTTTGGGTTCATATCTATTAGCGTAAGTCATTATTTGTCTTTTGTTTGACATTGAATAATCCCAAATTACAAATTTTTAATTCAATACCTTTTATTTAATTCCAGTCACCATGCTAAGAATTAAGAGTAACATGACATTGTCTTTGTTCTCCACAGAAGTCTGCAACATATTTTCTTAAACCATGTGATTTTTTTTTTAATTGCAAATTTTAGTAAAAGCATATCTGCTTCTCTTTTGATGCATTTTAATTGCACTATGTTAAGTAGTTGTAAATTAGACTAGGTAACATTTTTTGAACCTAAAAATTTAGGTTGAGTCATATAAAGTTTTTGCATTATATAAGATTCCATCCTTCATAAAAAAAAATCATTGGTAGTTGAAATGTTCATTGCATTGCTGTCATGGTATGTAATCTTAAAGTCATGATGAAATAATATGGTGTGTTATTCTCTGCTAGATAAAATATACTCACAGTTTAGGTCCTAGCCATTTTGTTGTGGTAGTAAGCTGACATATTCTGTGAGATAGTCTTGAGTTGTCGCCTATGTTAAGGTTACCAGGTTTGCTAATCCAGTGATATAGCGTCTTCTCTTTAGCAATTTGTGATTAATTAGTTTTTGCTGTAAAAATAATGATTCTGTCCTAAATAACAGTATAACTCTATTTTCTAAAATGTTCTTTTTTAGCAAAGTAGAGCTTGCTTTGACATCTGATGGCAGAACAATAGTATGCTACCATCCTTCTGTGGATATCCCATATGAACATACACAAGTATGTATGACAAAATCTACTAATAGTTTTTAATTTTCTGTTAGAAATGTACCTATTTCTTACAAATATCCAAAGAGAAGGGGATTGTCTGATTTTCTTTGTTTAATTTAACTTCTTTTGGCTTTTTTTAAAAACAGTTTTGATTTTCTTTTCATTTTTCTTTAAAGGTTTTTCTCATTATACAAAATAAACTTTTTTTAAAAAAAATATTTATTTCTTTAGTTTTTAGGTGGATACAGTATCTTTATTTCACATTTATGTGGTGCTGAGAATCGAACCYAGTGCCTCACGCACACTAGGCGAGCACACTACCACTTGAGCCACATCCCCAGGCCACAAAATAAACTTTTTAAATGCAGTTATGACATCATTTTTCTGGTCTAAAAAATTTAGTAGATATCTGGTTAAGGATTATATACATCTAGTATAAAACTATAAAACACATTATTCATCCCATATTATTATTTAATAAATTTTGAAAAACTTGCATTTTAGACTGTTCATAACTTTTGTACTGTTGATTCTGATAATCTTTTTAATGTTTGATTTTTTAATTTAATTTTTTCTATTGAATCAATATGGGTATATAGTTTAAGTGGTCCAATTTAATTTTTTTTCTGTCTTCAAAGCCAGAGCACTGTATAAGAGGTTTGGGTTTATTTTTGTGTTTAATACAATTTATTTTAGTTTGACCTGTTTTTATTATTTTATATTTGAAGTGCTTTTTTTTCTATTTAATATAATATAGCATCCTCCTATATTTGGCAATGTTTGGTCTGCTCTCTGAGGAAAAAATAATTAGATTATACATTTAGTGGCACCTATTTTTAAAAATCATTAGAGCCAGAGTGCTAGTTAATTTGACAAATTAGATTATTCTTTGCTAATTTCTATTCCATTTTTTAAATCTCACTATTTTTTCTTCCTGCCTCTGCATCCTAGCCAGATATAGGCACTAATCCAGTGCCCTTTTTTTTCTTAATTTCTTTGGGCAATATATACAAAAATAGGCCTCAGTCACTGAGTTTGAAGCTGTATAGTCTCCAATTCACAATGTGTTATGCCTTCTTCTGTTGTTATCTTATGCATTCTTTGGTGACATGCTTAATTCTTGTATCAGTTATTCAAAAGAAGCAGAAGATTGTCAGGTCATTTCTTAGCATTCACATTCTTATCCCTAGATGACTCTTTACATCCCTTCTGTCCTCAATTCTGAAAACTTCCCCACCATAATATTAGTATTTAACTATCAYTGATAAAATCTTTTCTAATGTTTTCTCTTCTTGAGTGTTGCCCTTACCTTTTTTCTCTAATATACCTGAATGTTCCCTGGGGACATTGTTTCCCCAGCAGCCCTTTTAAATAATTGCTGTTTGTCTCCCACAACCTTTGCCACTGGGCTTAGAGGTGTAGTAGGTATCCTGTAGTTCTTCATCTTCATAACCAGATCATTTCTCTTTTCTCTGACAATTCCTAGCTTTATAACTTGTATCATCGAATCATACCATCAATTATTTTTTTCTTTGTTGTCATCTCCAACCACGAGTTCATTTCTCTTTCACCCTCATACATTTCTTGAAGGTTTGAGGCTTATATCAAACATTGTTGAATCTAAAATGTGTTGGTTATTTTTCACAGATGCAGATAAAAAGATCCTCCTTTTTATTTCTCCTGATGTGTGTTTGATTAAAATACTAATATTTAAATTTTTTTTTTAGAATTTAKTATTTCTAGTTTAGGAAATCAAAAAGCAAAAAATAATGATTTAGAAAACAAAGTAAAAATGTAAATAAAAATTAAGTTTTTTGTTGTTGTTATTTTTTGTTTTGTTTTTGCTCCTGGGGATTGAATCCACAGCTACAACTGAGTCACATTCGCCTTTTTATTTGTGATCCTTCTGCCTCAGCCTTTTGGAGGCACCGGATTATCACGCCTGGCAAGCATGTCTTTTTAGTAATTGATTTAGTGGAAATTTTCAAAAGTCAAATTTTACAATTCTTAAGAAAAACAAGGGAAATTCAGGATAACAGTTCTGAGTATTTCATACAGTTGGCATTCGGTTTTATTTCATTTGTTTTATTGAAACACATACCCTTTCTTTGAAGTTTGATCAAGGAGTACTGCATTAAAGAATTCTGAGTGCCAGAGGCACTGTTATAGACCTTAAAGAATCCATTAATCTCAATGTCTTCTTATCTATGCACATAGAAATTTTTTTAAAACCACACAAAGCAGAGAGAATTTTTGATAAATTAGAATTAGACCTGCTTAGGATTAGGAAGACACAATAAGCATTTATTAATATGTGACAATAACTTTGATAATATTTAAAACATTTGCTCTTTAGCAACAGGTGTAAAAGACTTAAAAAAAAAAAAGAAAACTGTTAATTATAGGCTCTAAATAGCAATAGGGATGGATTCTTCAAAGATAGAGTTTATTAGAAAATAGCAGAGCATTGCAATGAGAATACAATTGCCATAGGCCATAGTCAACTATGAGTTTATTTAAGGGTTTGAGACAAGGGGAAGTTTCCAGAGGCAAAAGGAAGAGGATTACCAAAGTTGTTTTGAAGCAGTCCTTACCTATGAGGATCAGTAACAAGGGTGGAGTCAGTCCAAGGTTGACCAGACTTTAGTTGGGCAGATGGCCTGATGATATAATTTTTTGTGTAAGGTTACAGTGGTCTTTGTGCAAAGTTGTGGTTCTGGCAGAGGCTCTTGTGTTAGTTCTTGTCAGTAACGTGTGCAGAGATCCCCTTCTGAACCTCCCAGCTTTATTTATGTACTTATTTTTCTGTCAGGGTTTGACACAGTTGACCCCCTTTCAATTCTGACAACTTTCATAGCTCTAATCTCATGTATATACTAGTACCTCTCAGGGTATAATAGTAATTTTCAAAGACCTTTACTAATATTTCACTTTATACAAAAGGATGATCTTTTGCATTTACATTAAATGTCTAAGGAATGCTTCCTCTTTAAATATATATATATATCTTTATTGCTGTTTGGGGCCTTAAAAGAAATGTTAATAGCTACCTACTGTTTATGAAACTCTTAGAGCATGAGGGACAGCAAAGCATACTATGAATTATTATTTCACTTAATCCTCATTAAACTCTAATCCTCATTAAACTCTAATGAGACAGATATTACTTCCTGATTTTATAGAAAGGAAAAGTATGTTTAAATAATTTGCCCGAGGCCACAGAACTACTCAAAACAGAACCAGAGACCAAAATGCATGTTCTTAAGCTCTCTGTTATACTTCCTTATTCTCTCCCACATTCAGAGGGAATACTAGACCACTAATATGTAAGTGGTTTCTTTTTGGTTTAGTTATAAAGGCTTATCACAATCTGATTTCTCAAGATTTATTTTTTTTAAAATCATCTCTTAGGTGTTCTTGCATATGTTTCATCATTTACTCATCTTTCTGTGCCCCATAAACTTCTGTCTATATTAGACTATASTATCTACTGGACTCTGACTCAACTACTTCCATTTCCACTGATATCTTCGTTACTTTGCATTTCTGAAGTCCTTATTCAATTGTGCCCTTTCCTTGTGCGTATATATATAGCCTTTTACAGAGGTCTTATTGTTTCCTGAACTTAAACTTGATATAAGTATGTTATAATATTTAATACAGTGGTATGATATAGTAGTTGTCAGTAAATAGTGTATGAATATAAAGAAGACTGTTTGAATGTTTCACATCATTGTAAAGTCATATTTGTATTGTACTATAATTACTATGTATGCCTTACTTTGTAAAGTACTTTGTAAAGTAAGGTATTGTTACCATTGTTATATATGTTATCATTACTAATGTATCATTTCATCAATATAACATTATTGAATGTTATAGTCATTGTTATGTATATTAATATCTTTATTTATTTATTTATTTATTTATTTATTTTTAAGTGTGTGGGGGTACCGGATATTGAACTCAGGGGCATTCAACCACTGAGCCACTCCCCAGCCCTATTTTGTATTTATTGAGAGACAGGATCTCACTGAGTTGCCTAGTGCCTTGCCATTGCTGAGGCTGGCTTTGAACTTGTGATCCTCCTGCCTCAGCCTCCCGAGCTGCCTGTGATTACAGGCATGTACCACTGTACCGGCTAATCATTTACATTTTAAAATATAGGTAACTTGACCCTCCAAGTCAGTGATTTTTTTTTTTTTTTTTTTTTTTTAATTTAACTGTGCTGCAGTTCAAACCCAGAGTCTTGTGCCTGCTAGGTCATATTCTATTACTGAACTACATATCTAGCCCAAGTCAGTGATTTTTTTTTTTTTTTTTTAAATGTGGTGCTAGGGATTGAACCCAGGGTCCTTTATCTGAGTTACATTACATCTCTTTTTACTTTTTTGAGACAGGATCTCAAAAAAAAAGTTGCCCATGCTGGCCTTGAACTTATTATTCTTCTGCCTATGTCTTCTGAGTCACAGAGATTATAGTCATGTGCCACCATGCCTGACTTCAAGTTGTTGTTTCTTAAAGGCTTTAATGAACTGCTCCTACTGATAGAAATATATTTTATCACTCTTATGCATTGGGAATGCAGTTTAGTAACTAATGTCTTTGTGGGGAAATGATCCACATTATCATGAGGCATTATTTGATGGCATTTCAGTTACCTGAAATGAAATCACTGAAAAATTTCCTGCTTCCATTGAATATAGGAGCCAYATCCCCAGCCCTTTTATATATTTTACTAGAGATAGGGTCTCGATGAGTTGTTCATGGCCTTGCTAAGTTGCTAAGGCTGAGTTTGATCCTGCTGCCTCAGCCTCCCAAGTCACTGGGATTATAGGCGTGTGCCACCGTGCCTGACACTTAGTCCTTTTTTATGTTTTGGGACAGGGCCTCAGCTAAATTGCTGAGGCTGGCTTTGAACTTGCAACCCTCCTTTCTCAGCCTCCTGAGCCACTGGGTTTACAGATGTGTGCCACCCTGCCCAGTAAGAATTTTCATTTTCAATGAAAGGTTTTGCATTGTGTCTCACTGTAATGATTGAGATATATAAGAATTTTATTATTGGAAAATTAACCCAAAATTTGTGAGAGGAAAAATATTTCTGATCTTGTTGAGTAATACAACTAAGCAAAACTGTTCTGATAACTTCTTTACCTACCCTGAGTTACTGTAATGAATTACTGAGTATGGAAATTATTTTATTGTAACTCAATCAAATCCTGGCTAACCCTTTTCTACATTTTGATGTTATTTGTTTCTAATTATTTTGTAGCCTATTCCTCAACCAGATCCTTTGCACAGTAATGAAGAAACACATGATCAAGTGCTAAAAAYCAGATTAGAAGAAAAAGATGAACACCTTGAGGAAGGACCCATGATAGAAAAACTTAGTAAAATGTTTTTTACTACTAAGCATCGTTGGTATCCTCATGGACAGTAAGTTTTATTTTCTTTCTTCAACTCTGACTACATACACAAGAGGAACATGTAACTATCCTTGCATTAACAATTTCTGAAATGGTACTGCACGAGAAAGTTAACCCCAAGTACAATCGCATACTATATTGTACACCACCCTCCCTACCGCCATCCCCGTACTGAGGACTCAACCTAGTACCACTGAACTGTGTCCCTAATCCTACCCTTTATTTTTAAGAATTTGAGACAGGCCTTTTACAACATTACCAAGGCTGGCTCCAAACTGTGATCTTACTGTGTCAGCCTCTTGATAGAAATATCAAGACAACCTGCTCCACTAAGTTCTACACAATCCCTGTTTGTAAGTTTGGGTATTTTGGTAGATAGCTGGATTACCAGCATGCATCACCATGCCCAGCTATGTTATATTTTTATATCAATATATATACTATAGTTAAATTGAAATAATGCTTTTTTAGCAATATTATGTTTTTATATCAATATATATATATTATAGTTAAATTGAAATGCTTCTTTATTTTTCTTTATTTTAATGAGAGAATTTAAACAAAGCTTTCTGTGAATTTTATAAAAGTCCTTGAAAATTTTATTCTATGATAGTCATTAATTAATGTGTGATTTTTATTTAGCTTCCTAATAAGAAATTAATCTCGTTCGCAGCCCTTTATSTATTCTTTTAGTAGACTGAGTTGTTGTAAAAATAATTGGGGTGCAGCACACAATTTGGCAATAAATATTGTTTTCAGTTCTCTTGCCTTTCTCTCATCAACTCTTATCCTCTATCTCTGGCTTTAATTTTYGTATTTTGAATCATTTTCTTTTCTTGTGGTGTTAGGGCCTAACATACAATGCTTTTATACTTAGCTATACTCCAGCTCCAAATCTTCTCTCTTTCATGTCTGTTGTCTTCCAGACTAAACTATGAGGGCATTTGGTTTATAAATATAAACAGTGTTTGTTTGAGCAAACTTTGTTCTCATTCACTTGTGTAACTGCCACTGGGCTGGCACACTTATAGCAGGATACATTTATGGAACTAACAAATATACATTCATCAGTCTGTCATCCCAGCATCTCGGGAGGCTGAGGTAGGAGGACCATGAGTTCAAAGCCAGCCTCAGCAACATCGAGGTGCTAAGCAACTTAGTGAGACCCTGTCTCTAAATAAAATACAAAAAAAAAGGGGATGTGGCTCAGTGGTTGATTGCCCCTGAGTTCAATCCCTGGTATCAAAAACAAAACAAAACAATCTGYTCCACTAAGTTCTATACAATTCCTGTTTTTAAGTTATTTATACTCAAGGAGTGAAGATAATGAAGTAAATACACATTTAAAATCAAGGGTGATTAAGCCTCTTGAAGGGTGGCTCAGAGATACCTACGGGAGTGGGGGAAAACTCCATAGGCAGAAGAGACAGCAAGTGAGATAAAGTATGCTGGGGAAGTTGCCAATAGTTCATATTGGATGGAATCTAGAATATGTGGAGGAATATAGGAAGGGTATTGTGAAGGAGTTTGTGCTGAGCAGTTTTAACATGTGAACTGACTTGTACATCATTTATACATTAGAAAATCATTAAGAAGGCTCTGTATTTGGGATAAAGTGATACAAGGAAAGACTAGAGTTAGGGAGACCTGTTAGGAAACTATTAACAGAAGTCTGGTGAAAAATGTTGATGATTTAAATGGACTACCACTGAGAACAGAAAGAAGGAAAATGAAAGAAGATTGGTATTTAAGAACTTTAATCAGCATTAGTAGATGCATGGTAGGGAGAGAGGGGAGAGATAGGAGGCCTCTCTGTCAGGGGTGTTTGGGTAGATAGTGATGCCATTTATATGAATGGGGAAACAAGTTTGGGAGTAAGGAGGATGAACCCACAGTTGATTGAGTTTGAAGGGCCTGTGGATCATCTATGGGGAACAGTTCTAAAGGGATAGATCTAGGGATTCTGGAGCTCTATTCACTGTTTAGTTTAAAAGAAGCTTCTTCCCTTAACTTTAGTTATGACAGAGATTCTCCAGGGTACTGCTTTTTATTGTACATCTTGGTGAAATTCACTCTGAGAGTTTTAATTATAGTTGCTGTGCAGCCTGTTCTGCCATGTTTTTTCCTCAGTCTTATTAGCAGTATCATCATCCTTAGAATATTTCAAACAACTTCTTTCCAAAGTTTTTGATTTATTAGAATAAAACAAAGTCTTTTCCTGTCTAAAAAAGCCCCTCTTTTAACAATCTCAATATTAAAGGTGATATTTCTATGTCAATTTCCCAAGAAAAAAATTTGTGTTTTGTTTTTGTTTTTGTAATGACCAACATGGTCTTTCAATTCCTGCTTCTATTTTTATCTCTTTCCTTGATTCCTTGATTTTTTTTTTTTTAAACTTAATACTCAGTTTTTAYGCATGCTATCTGGGTCTGTACCTATCTTTGTAATTGTTAGGGTTTTGTAAATGTTAGGGTGTATGAAAACAAATTAGCAAGCATTTCCATACTATATTTAAATCATTAAATCATTACTATATTTTAAGATTTATTTCCATGATTTACAACGTCTCTTAAAGTTTGTCTTTTAGTTTTGTCATGTTATCCAGATATTTCAGTTAAGCCTAACCCTGAACAATGGTAATGGCTTTTAGTATTTGTTGCCTTCCTCTATGTCTCATATTGCTGCAATCTTTTGTAATCGTTGTTCACAGCCAAGTCACTGAGGATACGAAAATCCTCTGAAGGGAAGAAAGACTAAAGGCAGTATTACGAATCTTAAAATCAAATATGTGTTTCAAGAGTTTTTATTTATTTATTTATTTATTTATTCCTTTTTGTGGATGGATCACAATTTGTTTATGTTCCAATTATGAACATTTTGAGTACTTCTCAATATTTGGCTCATATGAATAAAACTGCATAAATGTTTAAGTCATGGTATTGACATGTTTTCACTTCTTGTTTTTTTTTTTTGAGTTTAATTTTTCTTCTTTTTTTTCAATATTTTTTTAGTTATAGGTGAACACAATATCTTTTTATTTTATTTATGTGGTGCTGAGGATCGAACACAGGGCTTCACACATGAGAGACAAGAGCTCTACCATTGAGCCCCAGCCCCAGCCCCTCTTGTTTTTTTTTTTTTTTTTTAATACCAGGAATTGAACTCTGGGGCTTATCCAATGAGCCACACCCCCAGCCCTTTTTTGTATTTTATTTAGAGACAGGGTCTCACTGAATTGCTTAGCACCTCGTTAAGTTGCTAAGGCTGGCTTTGAACTTGCAATCCTCCTGCCTCAGCCTCCCAAGCTGCTGGGATAATAGGAAAGCACCACTGCTCCTGGCTATGTTTTCACTTCTTTTGGGCAAATCCCTGTAAGTAAGATTACTGGGTCATATGATAAAAAAAAGGCACATTTAAATTCAGTAGAAACTGTCAAAGTGATATTTCCACCAGTAGTAAGTGTGAGTTCTACTTGTTCCACATCCTCCCTAACACTCGGTATTATTGTCTTTTTACTTTAGTCATTTTGTTGGGTAAGTAGTAGCGATTAATTGTAATTTTAACTTATGTTTCCCCAATAATAATGATGTTGAACATTTTTTCATGTGGCCATCTGTACATTTGTAGTGGGTATTTGTGTGTGTGTGTGTGTGTGTGTGTGTGWGWGAGAGAGAGAGAGAGAGAGAGAGAGAGAGAGAGAGAGAGAGAGAGAGAAAGAGAGAATTGTCTGTACAGATGAGTTGTCTTATTAAGATATAGGACCCGTGGATTGAAGTACTGTGTGAGCTGTGTGCTTTGCAAATATTTTCTGTCTGTGGCTTGCCTTTTCATTTCCTAAATAGCTTTTGAAGATAGTAGTATTTTTTAATTTTGATGATGTTTAATTCACAAATTTTTCCTTTTGTAGTTCAGGAGTTTTATGTTGCACTTAAATTCTACCTAACCCAAGGTCACTAAGAATTTCTTCTAGAAGTTTTATTTGGGTTGATTTTTGTATACAGTGTGAGGCATTAGTTGAAGTACCTTTTTTTACATATGCATATCAGCTATTCTAGCATCATTAGTTGAAAATATTATGTCCCTTTCCATTAAACTGGTCCAACTCCTTTGTTGAAAGTCAGTTGACCATATATGTTGGTACTGGTAATCTTGTTCAGTTAATCTCTATTTTTATAGTAAATAAGTTTTAAAATCAGGTGAAGTCCTCTGTATTGTTATTTCTTCAAATTTTCTTAGTCATCCTATGTCTTTCGCATTTCCCTATGAATTTTAGAGTCAGCTTATCAATTTATAAAAAGCTTGGTAGGATTTTAAAGAGTGTTGAATTCAGTCTGCAGATCAATTTCAGGAGAATTAACGTCTTATCAATATTCAGTCTTGGGGCTGGGGTTGTGGCTCAGTGGGAGAGTGCTTGCCTGGCATGTGTGAGGCACTGGGTTCAATTCTCAGCACTGCATTAAAAAAATAAATAAATAAAATAAAGGTATTGTGCCCTATCTACAACTAAAAAATATTCAGTCTTATCAATATTCAATCTTCCTGTTGAAAATGGCATATTTTTTTGAGACAGGGCTCACTGTGTTGGTCAGGCTGTCCACAAATTCCTGGACTTAAGCAGACCTGCCCTCTCAACCTACTGAGTGTCTGGTACTATAGGGGCATATCATGGTGCCCATATATAGGACTTTCTTCTTTCTTTCTTTCTTTTTTTTTTTTTTTTTGTGGGGGTTGGATACTGGGGATTGAACTCAGGAGCACTCATCCACTGAGCCACATCCCCAGCCCTATTTTATATTTTATTTAGAGATAGGGTCTCACTGAGTTTCTTAATGCCTCGCTTTTCCTGAGGTTGGCTTTGAACTCACAATCCTCCTGCCTCAGCCTCCAGAGCCACTGGGATTACAGGCTTGTGCTGCCACACCCTGCTAGGATTTCTTAATAGACGATCATAGGACCTATGAATAAAGGCAATTTTACTTTTCTTTTTATAGTGGTTCTTGTTTTGTTTTTCTTATTGCTTAGAACCTTAAGTACAATGTTGGGTAAACTGCTGAGAACAAATATTATTGTCTTTCCTCCAGTTTTAGTGAAGGAAGGCACTGAATCTTTTAACATCAACAAGTCTAGTGTTCAGTAATATGTCTTTATGTAGATGCCCTGGTCAGATTCAGGAAGTCCCTTCTAGCATAGTTCTAGGAAGTCCCTAGCATGGAGAAGTATTTTTGTTTTGATTTGCTTTATCATGAATGGGTGTTGAATTTTCTTGGATGCTTTTTTTGCATTTATTAAGATGATCATTTGGTTTTTCTTACTTTTTAATATAGTCAATTATATTAAATGATTTTAAATAGTAAGTTTACTTTTTATTTCTGGGGTAACTGATGTTTGGTCATGATGTATTATTATTTTTATTTATTGTTGAATTCATTTTGCTAAAATTTTGTGTAGAATGTTTACATCTTTATTAGGGATACTGGCCTGTAGTTTTATCTGTTTTTGGTGTCAGTAATGCTTCCATCAGAAAATGGATATGGAAGTATACCTTCCTCTCCATTTTTCCAGGGGAATGTGTAAAAATTGGATCTTATTTGTTTCTTAAATGTTTGTTAGAATTCACCAATGAAGCCAAATTACAGGTGACACACACTTGTAATCCCAGCAACTCAGAAGGCTGAGGCAAGAGGCTCACAGGTTCAAGGCCAGCCTCAGCAATTTAGTGAGACCCTAAGCAACTTACTCAGACATTGTCTCAAAATTAAAGAATTAAAAAAAGACTGGGGGCCTGTAGCTCAGTGGTAAGTGCCTTGGGTTTAATCCCCAGGGCCAAAAAAAAAAAAAAACCAAGGAATTCACCAGGGAAGCAAGCCATCTGGGTCTGGAGTTTTCTTTATGGGAAGTTTTAATTACACATTTAGTTAGTTTAGTTGATATGTAAAGGCTGTTTAGTTTATCAAAAGTTTCTTCTTGAGGGCACTGTGTTAGTTTGTGTTTTTCAAAGAATTTGTCCATTTCATCTAAATTGTTTGCATATTGTTGATCATTGTATTTCCTTATTGTCTTTTAAGTATTTTAATTATAGTGATGTCACTTCTCACATTCTTTTTCTTTTTAATTTTTAAAATTTGTTCTAATTAGATGTACATGACAGTAGAATGCATTTTGACACATTGTACACAAATGGAGCATAACTTCTCATTCCTCTGACTGTACATGGTGGAGAGTCACCCCAGTAGTGTAATCATACATGTATATAGGGTAATAATATCTGTCTCATTCTACCTCCCTTCACAGCCCCACATCCCCACCCCTCCCTCTACTCCCCACCTCTCACATTCTTGATATGATTAATTTTGTTGATCTTTTCCAAGAATCATCTTTTTGGTTTTATCAAGTCTACTGTTTTTCTATTTTCCATTTTATTGTTTTTTTGCTCTTTGTTATATCCTTTTTAAACTTGCTTTTGGTTTAAGTAAGTTGTGACCAAAATATCTGGAAATAAATTTGTTCATGCTGGTTATTATGCTCTAGGTATTTTCTGCAACTTACTTTTTCATGTTAGCATGCAGAGGTGTATTTTATTCTTTTCAACTTAATTCTTTTATACATTTTCAAAAAATCATTATCACCCAGCACTGCAAAAAAAAAAAAATCAATATCAGAAAAATCAGAAAGTTTTATATATGAAACTTTAAGATAAACAAAACATGCTTAGGTATTTTGATCACAAACAAAACTAAAGAGCATGAGATACATATCTTATCATTTGTGAAATAAAAATTTTTAAATGGAACTTCCACATTAGCAAAAAAGCAAAGAAAATTAACTCCTGACCACCTTGCCAAAATCTTACTATACGGGAAGTTTTGAAGAGAACTAATCAATCACATTTGTACTCTGTATTTTCTTTTTTAAAATTTACTTTGTTATAGGTGGACACAATACCTTTGTTTTATTCATTGATTTTTATGTGGTGCTGAGAACTGAACCCAGTGCCTCACACATGCTAATAGGCAAGTACTTTACCACTGAGCCACAACCCTAGCCTGTACTCTGTATTTTCTTAACTCAGTAAAGAAAATAAAGAAATATGAAGAAACAAAAAGAAAAATTCTCCACAGTGAAATCACTCAAAAATAATCACTGTTAACAGTGCATTTTATTTCTCTAGATCTATTCATAAGCTTGGTTAGTTGCTTATTTTTACATGGTTGTAATCATATGTGAATTTGTATCATATATCCCTGTCTTAATATTTTAATTATTTTTCTCTATTACTTTAGGATAGATTTCCAGAATAGTGGGTTGAGCCTCCTTAATCCGAAATCCAAAATGCTCCAAAGTCTGAAACTTTTCAAGCACTAATGTGGAAAATTTCACATCATATATTAAGGATTGTAGTAAAAATGCAGGCACATTAACAATATTATACAAAATTATCTTCAGGATATATGTGTAAGCTGTATAAGAAACCAACAAATTTTTTTGTTTAGACTTGGGTCCTATCCCCAAGATATTACGTATATGCAGCTAGTCTAAAATCAAACTATTCCAAAAAAGAAAAATTCCAAAATTTGAAATATTTCTGTTCTCATGTATTTGAGATAAGGGATGTTCAACCTGTACTAAATGAAGGTTGTGAATATTACCATTCTGCTTTTCAAAAATATTGCACCAATTAATACTTGAATCAGCCAAGGCTGATTTCACCACACTCATGCTTGGATTAGACATTATAATTTTTAACATATTTGTGATCAGAAACAAAAGTAAACTGTTCCTGATGATATTAAAATATAATTTTGTAGATCAAGTGGCTTCTGTTCAGTTTTTAAAATAAAACTGTAATAGAACATGCTTATGATATAGTGTTTTTTTACTATAAAGACAAATTTTATTATTAGTTTTTAATTAAGGTTACCTTGAAAATGTCCTCAAGATCTGAAAGAAGATTTTCCAAAATGCTTAATTGATAGGAAGCAATTTTCACATTGGGAGAATGTAGTTTATTAAGAAATATCTGAGATGTATCCAAAAATGTATGTATAAAGTTTCATTGATTTTTTTCAAATAGTTCTAATAAAAATAGCAAAATAATCATAGACATTTGAGATTTCTATCAGAAGTAATAAACCTTTACTAAAATAATTTATCTCAGATATATTCTTCTTTTCAAGGTATCATAGACGTCGTAAGAATCCGAATCCTCCAAAAGACAGATGATATTGAGACTCCTGGGAGAATCAAAGAAAAATGTTATCTGGTGTCTCATTTGCCATTTGAGAAAATGCAATCTGGTGTATTCACTAATATGTTATTTAGTAATATAATAATAAAATGTCTTTTCATATATTAGAATATGTATTTATTAATCCTGGACTTTACATTTTTATTTAGAGAAATGATTTCATTTATTTTCCTTTTGAGATATTAAAGGCTACCACTTATTTTTATGTGTCTAGTATGAGTATTTTTACATCATCATGCAAAAATTTATTATTAGCGTAAATATGGTTAATAAAATATGCATGCTTCTGAAGAAATTTTTCAAATTTATTTTCATTGGCGCATTAGTTTTACCTAATAGTGGGAATCATTATGCTGTATTTGTACATACACATAACATAATTTGATCACTTTCATTTCAGTGTACCTTCCTTTTTCTCCCTACCCCATCTGCTTGCTCTACCCAATTTAATTGGTACATTGTAATTATATAGAAAAGCTGTAGTCACTGCGGTTATATTTGTACCCGGACATAGCATAATTTGGTACATTTTGCTCCCCAGTACTTCCCCGTGTCCTCGCTCTTCCCTCCCTCTTGACTTCATGAAGGTGTTTTCAAATTGCCTTTGAGAATAAACTTACGAAGACAATACAGAAAATAGATGTTGCAGTGTTTCCATTGGCTTTAGGAAATAATTAACTTAGTTGTATTTTATTCAGTTTTTACTGTCTGCTAGACTCTTTGCAAATTTGATTAAATTCTCACAATAATTCTCTTAAGAGGGAGCATCAAGGCTGGGTTGTAGCTCAGTGGTGGAGTGCACATATGAGGCACTGGGTTCTATCCTCAGCACCACATAAAAATAATATAAATAAAATAAAAGTTTTGTGTCYATTGCCAACTAAAAATAGTCAGGGCAGGGGGTGGGGAGGTTGGAAAGGAGCATCATCATCATTATATAGATAAGGTTGAGAGTCCTGAACTCTACCTAGCAGACTGGGGAGCCAGGATCTGAACTGCCAGGCTCCAAAACATTCAGTACATTGTAATGACAAATGGGTTGATCTCCTTCACCCAAGAATGTACTTTCCTAGAGATTTCTCTAGAAAGAATGTTATATAATTGGTTTTGATTTTTTTTTCTTTTTCTGTCTTAAAAATTACACCAGCACTGGGTACGGTGGTGCACACCTGCAATCATCCCAATGATTTAGAAGGCTGAGCAGGAGGATCACAAGTTTGAGGCCAGCCTGAGTAATTTAGTGAGATCCTTTTTCAAAATGGAAAGGGCTGGACTGGGGAGTCAGCTCCATGGTAGAGTGCTTGCCTAGCATGCATGAGGCCCTGGGTTTGATCCCCAGCACTACAGAATTAAACAAACAAAATGTGAAATAACAAAAACAAAAAAACGCTATGGTTGTGTCTCAAAGGTAAAATATCCTTGGGTTCAATCCCAAATACCGGAAAAAAAAAAAAAAGCTAATTTCAAGAACACATGCAAACAACAGCTGCAGCTCTTGAGATTAAAATGTTTCACCAGACTATAGTGTTACAGCAGTGTACACAGAACCTTGAGAAGCTTTGCTGCCCCTGTCATTTCTGTTGAGCAGGTGAGGAATTTTCAGGAGGGAAAGTGCTTTATTCAGATTTGTAAAATATTTGTGATATTTGTAAAGTTGATGTGAAAAAATAATTTCTGAAAGTCTATTGTTAAATCCTTTTAGTAAAGGAAATTTATTTGAAGGTCCCAATGGTCTGTAAAATGTGAAGAATGGTGAGTAGGAGAGATCAAAGGAAATAATTAGTAATGGCTACCCTCTATTACTCAAAGGAAATGTTTTTAAGTAGCTACTTTTTTTTTATGAACTATTAATTATTGTGGAAAAAAATTAAAAAGTTTGATAGAAATTTGATAATCTAAAATATTTGCCGACTGTGTTGATATATCTTTGCAAAATGGTTCATTTTTTTTTTCCAGGTTGGTTTATACTCAAAATTTTAAAAAGGTTGAGATGTTATAAATGTAGAAAGAATAAAAAACTGAAATAAGATAAAATGAAAATTTTCTTCTACTCCAAAATGCCCATACCACACACTCATATGTCAAAAGGAGAATTAACTTTGATTTTATTGTACTGGAAATATAGATTAACATTGTAGTTGATAGGATTTGATGTTCATGAGTTGCTGATTTTTGTTTTGCTAAACAAATAAACATTCCACCACCAGCATCACCTCCCCTGTTCTTCCCATCCCCCACCCCAGGAATAGAAATCTGCATTCACCCCCAGCCGCCACTGGGGTACTGGGAATTGAATCCAGGGGCACTTTACCATGGAGCTACATCCCAGCCCTTTTTTATTTTGAGGTAAAATCTCACTAAGTTGCCCCTGCTGGCCTCAAACTTGCACTTTTGATTTTCCTACTTCAGTCTTCCACATGCCTGGGATTTCAAGTGTATACAATCGTGTCTGGCATCAATAACATTTTTATGAAATGTCCACTTACTTGTTTTAGCAGACACTTAAAAATTACATATAGTGGGATGGGCCTTCACACTGAATAAACAGCTTCATGAAAAACTAACCAGTTCTCACATTTCCATGGATGAGGAGTACCACCACCTCAAACGTACAAAGCAGGATTGCTAGAACCACCAGAGGGCACTCTCACATAGGATTCAATTTGAACATCTCATCCTAAGAGTGACTGCTGAAAGCAATTAGTAGAGATTTGAGAATACATTAGTTTCTGCATATGAAAGAAAACATAGTACCCTTGACTTTCAAGTCTGGCTTATCTCACTTAGAGATCACTTTTCTGATCACTTATCAGATGTTCTCATTATATTCTCCTGCAAATGACATAATTTCCTTCTTTATGGTTGAGTAAATCTCCACTGTGTACATATAACACATTTTCTTTACCCATTTATCTGTTGATGTCTAGTTTGGTTCTATAACTGGGTTATGAATTGTGCTGGTATAAACATGAGTATGCATGTATTGCTATAGTATGCTGACTTTTGGGTAAATACTCACAAGTGGTATATATAGCTAGATCATATGGTGGGTCCATTTCTAGTCTTTTGAGGAGCCTCCATACTGATCTCCATAGTGGTCTGAGGCCATTTTTTTCATTCTGTTTATCCACCAAATATTTATAAAACTACAAATTGTGAAGAATTCTGCTTTTTGGTTGGTCAATAGCAAAAAAATGATTTCTTCTTAAGACCATAATACCTTCTGAAAAATTCCTACTGAACAACTTAAATTTTTTTAATGACATTCTTTCCCAATCATGAATGTAATTCACTATTATTTTTAAAAATTGGAGACTATAGAAAAATAATTGCCCCATCCAAAGACAGCATTGTTAACATTTTTAGGTACCTTTTTTATTTCTCTGCATAAATATATTTTAGAAATAAAAATAAAATAGGGCTTATTATGCATGCTGTTTTGTAACTTGCTTTTCTCACTTAATATGAATTTTTCCATATCATTAAATACTCTAATTTTATTGAGTACATATTCTATAATATGTATTGTCATAATTTAATTAACTTCCTGCTGTTAGACATTGTCATTATTTCTGTTTGCTCCATGTTATAAATAATGCCGTTACTAACATCCTGGTAGATCATTCCTGACTATTAGATTAATTTCTCTATAGTTGTTGAATCAAAAAGCATGCACACTACATGCATTTTTAAAATTTGTGGTTTAAGGGGATGAGGGGAGAGGGGAAGAGATGGTGAGGGAGATATTGAGGAGTGAAATTGATTAACTTTTTATGCATATACAAATATGCTACAATGAAGCTCATCATTCTGTATAAATATGATGTACCAATAAAAAATGTGGTTTAAACTTTATACTTCTGACAGCAATATGGAACATTTTCTCTATACTTGTACTAAAAATTTAAAACATCTTTATCAGTTTAGTAGGCAAGGAATGGAAAATGATTTAATTTTCATCAGCCGCTTTAAATTTAGTATGTCTGACTTAAAAGAGTATGAAATGTAACAAGTTTAAGGTCCTAGCTTAAATGTCAAGTTCAAGAGAACTCTTGTGGCTCCTTAATTTCCTTAATAGCACTTCTTAGCACTTTTCTACAATGTGTTTCTTCTGCCTTCCCCACAAAACATCCCTTAGATGTCTGCAAGAATTTCAGTTCTTTAGAGGAACTGGGTCAGTTTATGTATGTGCAACACTAAATTTCTCCATATCACTTAATCAAAGTTTGTTTGGCTTCTTTTGTTGTGGGTACTTTTTATTGTTGTTTGATTTGGTTTGGTTTGGTGTACTGGGGATACTGGGGATTGAACCCAGGTGTGCTGTATTACTGAGCTACATCCCCAATCCTGATTATTTTTTTACTTTGAGACAAGGTCTCATTGAATTATTTAGGGCCTTGCTAAGTTGCAGAGGTTGCCCTCAAACTTGGAATCCTCCTGCCTCAGTCTCCTGAGTAGCTAGGATTACAGGCATGTACCATGGCACTCAGATGTTGTTAGGCATTTTGCATGTGATTATTTGATAAATGTCTATCTCCCCTCCTAGATTATAAATTCCATGACTTCCAAAGACTTTGTATGATTATGAGTATCAGTGTTCCTAATTGCCTGGCACCTTCATTGATCCACAGACTGAGTCAAGTTTTGTAAAAGAAATTGCTCTAGTACGGAGGATTTTAACCCAAGGATTCCATGAATGGGATTTGGGATGGGAAATATCTATGAAACTCTTGGAAGTGTGTAGAATTTCCAGATTGTTTGTGTTCTCCTGGGGACAGGTTCTGTTGTTTTCCTGCAGCTCATGGAGGTCTGTACCATGTCATTCCCTGATTTTTACTTGCTATGCACCTAGTAATTTTAGAACTGAAATAATACTGATAAGTGAGATAGTATGGTTTCCACATATTCCAGGAGGCCTCTTTGATTATATTCCAAGTCTTTTTTTAAAAAGAAGCTAAGATATCATGTTCTTTCATTTTGGATGTCTTCTGGGCACCTCAGGCAAACCCCCACCCCAAATACTTTTCCAGTTTTAGATGTATCTTTTTTATTTCCAGAAATAAGTCAAATTGACTATCATCCCTCAAACAATATTAGTTAGTAAACTATTTTATTTGGTAAAGCATACATGGATGTTTCCATTACTTT